CCCATTGCGACCCATGTTTTAAAACCGAGAAACCTTTCCAGGACTCTTCCAGTGCCAATGGTGGTGAGGGGTTTCTTCTTTTCGATCAACGGCGCCCTTTACGGGTTTTCGCCAATCAACCTCTCTCATTTCTCTTCTCACCATCGCCTTATAGTGCTCTTTATGAGTTTTCACTAACAAGACTCTCTCATTTTCAATTTCTCTGCTCACCGTCGACTTATGGTGCCCGTGGGTTTTCACCAGTAAGACTCTCTCATTTTATTTCTCTCATCTTTATTGCATCGAATCCAAACAACTACGTTCTCCGATTTTGAACACCTTTCACCGATTGATCGGAAGGACTTGAACAAAGTTTGGGGTAAAAGAATCTGGATCAAATTACAACTTTGGAACCGTTCAGGCGAGATTATCGTCGAACCATTATAACATCTGCCCCAGTTTCACTTTTGAGGAAAATTGGACTTTTGTTTTGGTGTGACTGAACCCCAGAGAGAGGCTGCCTACGTACTTTCGGAATCAAGTCGAACGTAGTTCAGGGAAAAAAATTTTGTTTTGTTGTTTTTGTTGTTTTTTTGTTTTTTTTTCCAACACCTTCAAGTTCCAAAGAGGGTAATGAAAGGAAGGTAACCGGCTCAAAGGGCTAGCAAAGGATTGGAGTGTTTGGGGTAGCGAGAATGAAAGCTTTCGTCATCCCAATCGGATAATGTCGTTGCTGCAGAAGGATTAGACATATTACCTTTTGACTGCGTCTGCATTTATAGCTGTTTCGGGGTCATTTCCTTCGATATCTCCCAGGTATAACGCCCCTCTTGGCTACAATTTTCTGATAATGTATGGGCCTTTCCAGTTAAGAGCAAACTTTTGTTTTGCTTCCTGATGATGGGGAAGAATACGCCTTAAAACGAGTTTCCCCACTTCAAAGTTTCTAGGCCGCACTTTCTTGTTGTAGGCACGGGCCATTCTTTGTTGATACAACTGCCCATGGCAGACTGCGGCCATTCACTTTTCATCGATCAGGGTTAACTGTTCTAGACGGGTTTTGACCCACTCACTGTCTTCAATTTAAGCTTCAACAATGATCTGAAGAGAAGGGATTTCAACTTCTGCAGGTATTACGGCTTCAGTGCCATAAACCAAAAGATACGGGGTTGCTCCGACTGATGTGCGCACAGTAGTGCGATATCCCAACAATGCAAACGGCAACTTTTCATGCCATTGCCTGGAACTTTGGATCATCTTTCTCAGAATCTTTTTGATGTTCTTGTTTGCTGCTTCGACGGCACCATTAGCTTTGGGCCGATAAAGGGTAGAGTTCCGATGCGTTATCTTGAATTGTTCACATATCTCCCTCATCAAATGACTATTCAAGTTTGCAGCATTATCTGTAATGATGGTCGCAGGGATACCAAAACGGCAGATGAGATTGGAATGCATGAAGTCTACCACAGCTTTCTTGGTGACATATTTGAGAGTAATTGCTTCAACCCACTTTGTGAAGTCGATAGCGACCAATATGAATCTATGCCCATTTGAAGCTTTTAGCTCGATTGGCCCAATGACATCCATACCCCAGGCAACAAATGGCCAAGGTGCTGACATGGGATGCAGTTCTGTAGGCGGTGCATGAATCAGATCACCGTGTACCTGACACTGGTGACATTTCCGGATGAAACTGAAGCAGTCTTTTTCCATAGTCATCCAGTAATAGCTTGCTCGAAGGATTTTCTTTGCCAAAACATACCCGTTCATGTAGGGTCCGCATGCTCCTGCGTGCACTTCATACATGATTCTTCTGGCCTCTTCGGCGTCAACACATCTTAACAAGTTGAGATCCGGAGTCCTTTTGTACAAGACCTCGCTGCTTAAGAAGAAACCGCTTGCAAGTCGTCTAATGGTTCTCTTTTGGTCTCCACTGGCTTGCTCGGGATACTCTTTAGTTTTCAAAAACCTCTTGATATCATGATACCATGAATGAATATTCGGTTCTGCCTCAACCGTATTGCAGTAACCATGCCTTTCTCAGATTTGGATTTCTAATGGGTCAATGTGGGCATTGCTTGGGTATGGCAGTATTGAGGCCAAAGTAGCGAGTACATCGGCCAATTCATTGTGACAACGAGGGATGTACCTGAACTCGACTGACTTGAACCGCTTGCTAAGATCTTCCACGTGTTGCTTGTAGGGAATAAGTTTGACATCTCTAGTTTCCCATTCTCCCTGGGCTTGTCGGATAATGAGATCCGAATCTCCCATAATCAACAATTCTTCGACATCTTGGTCGATTGCCATGTTCATACCCATAATGCAGGCTTCATACTCGGTAGTGTCGTTTGTGCAGAAAAACTGAAGTCGGGCTGTAGCTGGATAACACTGACTAGTGGGTGAGATCAAGATTGCTCCAATTCTAACGCCTTTTGCGTTCACAGCCCCATCAAAGAACATTTTCCAATCATTGGTGTCTTCTGATGTTATCTCAATTGAATTTACCTCTTCATCCGGGAAGTAAGTGCTCAAAGGCCGGTATTCATCATTAACAGGGTTTTCAGCCAAATGATCCGCTAAAGCCTGGGCTTTCATTGCCGTGCGGGTGACATAAACTATGTCAAATTCAGTAAGCAGTATCTGCCATTTTCCTAACCTCCCTGTGGGCATCGGCTTTTGGAATATGTACTTTAGAGGATCCAACCTAGTTATAAGGTAAGTGGTGTAGGCTAGCAAGTAGTGCCTCGGCTTCTGAGCGACCCAAGTTAAAGCGCAGCAAGTTCTTTCCAATAAAGTGTACTTGGCTTCATAACTGGTAAACTTCTTGCTCAGATAGTAGATCGCCTGCTCTCTTTTCCCGGTCACGTCATGTTGTCTGAGGACCCATCCAAAAGAATTCTCCAAGACTGTCAAAGGCCTCCCAGGTTCAGGTGGGACCAGGACTGGCGGGTTCAACAGATATGCTTTGATTTTGTCAAAGGCTTCTTGGCATTCTTCTGTCCATTTAATTGTTGCATCTTTCTTTAACAACTTGAAGATGGGTTCACATGTATAAGTCAACTGAGCAATGAATCGGCTAATGTAGTTCAACCTTCTCAGCAGGCTCATAACCTCTTTCTTGGTTCTTGGAGGAGGCAAATCTCGAATAGACTTATCTTTGTTGGTACTAACTCGATGCCCCTCCGACTTACTATGAATCCCAAGAGTTTGCCAGACGGAACCCCAAATTCGCATTTGGACGGATTTAGCTTCAAATCATTTTTACGCAGCCGCTCAAAGAATTTTCTCAGGTCCCTAACATGGTCGTCCTGGGTCCTGGATTTGATGATCACATCGTCTACATACACCTCAATTTCTTGGTGCATCATGTCATGAAAAATGGCAATCACTGCCCTCATATAGGTTGCCCCGGCGTTCTTCAGACCAAAAGGCATGACCGTGTAATAGTAGGTGCCCCAGAGTGTGGTGAATGTTGCCTTTTCTTCATCCTCTTCATCCATCAACACCTGGTGATATCCTGCATAACAATCCACGAAGGACTGTATCTCATGTTTGGCGCAGTTATCAACAAGGATGTGGATGTTTGGCAAAGGGAAATTATCCTTGGGACTTGCTTTGTTCAAATCTTTGTAGTCCACACACACTCGAGTTTTCTCGTCTTTCTTTGGCGCTGGAACTACATTAGCTAACCATGTGGTGTATCGAACCACACGGATCATCCCCGCTTTCAAGTGTTTTGTGACCTCTTCTTTAATCTCGTCACTGATATTAGTTTTGAACTTTCTTTGCTTTTGCTGGACAGGGGGATAATCGGGGTAGGTTAGCAACTTGTGAACCACCAAATCGACACTTAGTCCTGGCATGTCGTCATATGACCAAGCACACATATCTTTGAATTCAAACAAAAGTTGGATCAATGTGTCCCGAGTTTTTCATCTGTGTGAATGCTTATCTTGGTTTCTTTGACTTCTTCAGAACTACCCAAATTAACCAGCTCGGTATCATTTAAGTTCGGCTTAGGTTTATTCTCAAACTGTTCCAATTCTCGATTTATTTTCCTAAAAGCCTCTTCTTCATCATATTCCGGTTCTTGGTTCATTATTTCACAATTAGACCACGTGTTTGGATCTGGACATAAAGTCCGCAAGCATGTCATGTTATTTAAAGTCGCATTATTAGAACTGAAAGAGAAGAAAAAAAAATAAGAGAAAAAATAACAAAATCAGAAAGAATAAAGAGATGAACGATGAAATATTGATTTCATTTCATTGAATTTGAAGATAACAGGGTTTACATTGGAAATCAAAGACAGGAAACTAAAGAAAAAATCCGAGTTACACCCTGAAATAACTCGTGATGCAGAAAAAAGTGGCAGGACTGGACTACCGGGATTCCCGCCTGATTGGGAACGGAGTAGCCTTCCAATTTTGTAGCTAGGCATTGGGTCCCATGTATAGCACCTCAGCGGTGTTTGAGTCTTCTCCCGGCTGGACCATATAGGTTTCATACAGCATCTGCCTCATAGCCCCACATATTTCTTCAATTTCCTCGGCTGTGAAGGCCTCATCTTCCTCTTCCTCATTGTACTTGGGCCTGACAAATGTTCTATAAAGATGCGGAACCGGCTGAGGCAAGACCCAACCAATGTTCTTTTGTTTATCTGCCCATTTTTCATCAGCTGGCATGGGTTGGAAACCTACTCCAAAGAATTTCTCACTTGCAGCCAAAGTGATAGGTTCGGTGATTCCTTGTAATGACGTCCCGAGCCCCTTCCCGGGTTTGTAACCGTGCCTGATCATTTCTTTGGCAACCATAATTGATGCATTTGAGAGAAAGGGTTGAGGGCACGGGTTTCGTTCTTCACATTGGTCCGCGACCACAATCTCAAAAGCTTGATAGACTATATGTTCACTTCCTTCTCTAGCTTCAAGACACGGGACTGACGGGTCCCGGTAGATCGACTGCTCATCTTCTCCGTGAACTACAATCTCCTGATCTTCATGATCGAATTTCACCATCTAGTGGAGAGTAGAAGGTATAGCCCCTGCTGCGTGAATCCAAGGTCTTCCCAAGAGGAAATTATAGGAAGTATCCATGTCCAAGACCTGAAAGGTCACCTCGAAGTCCACCGGGCCAATAGTCAGTATCAAATCAATCTCGCCTATTGTATCTCTCTTAATGCCATCAAAGGCACGCACACAGACGTTGTTGGGCCTGATTCTCTCAGTACCGATCTTCATCCGTTGCAGAGTTGAAAGAGGGCAAATATCTACCCCAGAACCACCATCTAACATGACCCTTTTCACATAATATCCCTCGCATTTCACCCTCAGATGAAGGGCTTTATTGTGGGCGGCCCCTTCCGGGGGCAAATCATTCTTGCTGAAAGAGATTTGATTGACTGCAAAAAACCTTTCCGCCATCCTCTCTAGCTGTTCCACAGTGGTTTCAATGGGTAAATATGCTTCATTGAGAGTTTTGATCAACACTTTTTGATGTTCAGTGGAATTCATTAGCAGAGACAACAAAGAGACTTGAGAAGGAGACTTCCAGAGTTGGTCAATTATCTCGTAGTCCGCCATTTTCATTTTTCGGAAGAACTCTTCTGCTTCTTCAGCACTCACTGGCTTCTTACGTGGGAAACGCTTCCTTGTGGCATTATTCACTTCCTCCAGATTGAGGTATTTCTCAGCCGGGTTGTTTTCCTTAACTTCTCCCGAGATCTCTTTACCTCTGTAAGTTACTACCGCTTTGTTGTAATTCCATGGAATGGCAGTGGGATCTGTCATGGGCCTTTCCAGTGCGCGGCCAATAACCACGGGCTCATTCAGCGTTGGTGAAATTACTGGCCCACGCACCACGTAGGTCCCTTTAGGCACACACATTTTAGATCCCTTGTTTAGCTCAAACCTTCTTGGAAGGCTCAATGACATCAGTTCTTTCTTGTGGCCCCGGGGAACATATAGAACAACATGTTTTGAGGGTGTTGCCTCAACTTTGGCTTCCTCTTTCTTTTTTGTATTCTGAGGGGTAGGTTTATCTTCTTCTCCCCCTTGTCTTGTTTTGCGGTAGCCTTCGGCTTCTTTTCCACATCGGCTATGGCAATGATGGCTATTAGAGTTAGGTCAAACTCTCTATTTTCACAGATCATTCAAATAACCAGCCCGTTGTTGTGAGCCGGTAATGGATTGTTGGTTTGTCATTAGGAACGTCTTCGTCCTTTAGCACTATTAGCTTTTGTTCTATGAGGTTTTCCACAGCCCTCTTTAGGGTCCAACAGTCATTTGTATCATGCCCTTCCGCCCCTGAGTGGTAAGCACATCGAGTACCGGCTCTGTAAGCGGGCGACGCTGGGTTCTGCCTGGTTTGGCGTACAGGCTGCAGCAAACCCATCTGGACAAGTTTGGGGAAAAGGCTGGAATGTGACTCACCAATAGGTGTGAAGTTTGCCATCTTGGGTGGTTCCCGGGCACGGAACTTGTTCTGTGGAGGTCGGGGATTATACTGAGCTTGGTGAGGAGGTTGATTTCTGGGGAATGGAGCTCGGTTTTGATTGAATTGTTTTTGTGGCCTAACGTAGGGTTGGGCATTCATCACTGCGTATGGTTGAGGGACCATAGCGTAGGCCACATCCTGTTGGGGATAGTAATGTTGTGGGGTTCTTTCAGGGAAATAAGGTCTAGGTGGACGGGGTTTTCTTACACTTGAAGTTGTCATTGCCGCTTGTTCCTTCTTCTTTCGGTTTGCTACACCTCCAGACCCGCCTTAAATTGCTTGGGAGGTAGCCCTTATAGTAGACTGACTCAAAATTCGTCCTGTTTTTAAACCATTCTCAACCATTTCACCAATTTTGATGGCCTCGACAAATGGCTTCCCCATCGCAGACATCGTGTTCTGATAATAATCAGCCTCTTGGGCTTGAAGAAAGACACTAACCATCTCTGTTTCGTCCATTGGAGGATTAACTCTGGCCGCGTGTTCGCGCCATTTGACAGCATACTCTCGGAAGCTTTCCGAGGACTTCTTCTTTAGATTTGCAATGAATTCCTGTCAGGGGCAATGTCGATGTTATATTGAAACTGCCTGACAAAGTCCCGAGCCAAGTCGTCCCAGATATGCCAACGAGATATATCCTGATCCATATACCATTCAGAAGCAATGCCGACCAAACTCTCTCCAAAGTAAGCCATGAGAAGCTCCTCTTTTCCGCCTGCTCCCCGCAATTGGTTACAGTACCTTTTGAGGTGGGATATGGGATCCCCATGCCCGTCATACTTTTCAAACTTCGGGGTTTTGAAACCGGGGGTAAATGTACATGTGGGAACATACACATGTCAGCGTAGGATACGCTCTTTTGCCCGCTCAGACCCTGTATATTTTTGAGACTTTGCTCCATACTTCTCATATTTCTGGTAATCTCCTCTTGTTCAGGGGTTTTTGTGGTTTTCTCCTGCCCTGCGGTAAACTCGTACCGAGGAGGCTGAGGGTAAGCATTGATAGTAAACTGGGTAGGTTCCAGTGGGAAAGATGGTGCTTGAAATGTGAAGGAAGATGGATCGAAGCTAGGCCTGGGTAGAGTGGGTTGTGCCGTAGCTGAACAAGGTGGAGCAGTGAATATATTTAAGGCCGCACCTGACGTTAACACCTGGGGGCGAGCCTCAGAAGGTGTTCCAGCAAAGTGGCTGAAATGGTAGGATATCCTAGTGGGGTATTTGGATAACTTATGGGGATGTTGGAAGTCCCACTTGCCCTGGGAAATAGCTCAGGGAACCCAGGGATCGCACTTGGTGGTTCTCTTTCGTTGGCCCAGGCGTCCCACATTTCCTTCATGCGAAGACGCAGAATCCTATTTTCCTCAGCAGTTGCTGACTCAGAAGTTGGGATGGCCGAGATCGGGCTATCCTCTGGGATAGGGATTGTTGGCTGATGACTTTCCGAAGACATTTCAACACTTCCTTTTGACCTTGTGAAGTACGGATGTGAAGCCAAATTACCACAAAACCAACTACCTTAATATAAAACCTGTACTTAACAGTAGACAACAAACCAGTCAGTTTGAAGCAGTTAACACATAGGTAATCGCACGTTGGGGGTGTGATGCACCTATACAGTTAAATGTGTTTCTACATGTTTCGCAACGGTTGCATGTTTCATCCCAGCTTTGCTTATTTTCCCCAATTTTCTTTTCTTTCCACTTTGGCTCTTTGATGTTTCCTCTTTTATTCCTATTTTCATGTCTTTTCTTTCCTCTCTTTCCTTGCTCTCTTTTTTCATTTTTGGTTTTTCTTCGGCTCTCTTTTTCTTTCTTTTTGGTTTTTCTTTTGGTTCTTTCCTTTCACAACCCTCTTTTATTTGAGTTATTTACAAAATCATGACCGGATCCGATGAGGATTACCTACGTATCATGACGCCGTGTGAATCAGATCATTACGTAGTTCAAGAAAATAAATGCAAAAAAAATAAAGAAACAGTTTTTTGGGAATTTCCAAATTTCATTAATAAAACTCCTAAACTTTTCTATTACAAAAAGACTCCAACATACTCATTTCTTGGAATTTTAAAAACTACAAACATACTCAAAACAAATTATAAACTAAAAACTGAAATACAGACTCGATAAATGAAAATCATGAGTACATAAGTGCTTCGACTCCTGGGGCCCGTGGGACATCATTCGGTCGTGCCACGGGCCTATGTGCAAGATCCCCTTGAAGGCGCTCCAGATCACTCATTATCTGGCGGACAAATGTCATTACTGCAGCAAAGAAAGTGGTTCGTGTCATGTCCTCACATGTGTGGCATTTCATGACGATGTAGTCGGCAATTGCTCTCACCCTCTCCCGGATAACACCCTTTTCTTGGAGCAAACACCCGATTTGCTGATTTCGAGCTTCTAACACTTGGGTGTCATGATGGCTCTGATTTTGCAACTGTTGCATATCTTCCTCCATCTGGGCCATCAAAGCATAGCAATGTTCCCTTTCGGCTTTAAAGTTCCTAGCCTGTTTGGCCGCCTCATTTTCAATGGTAGTTAGCTTTCTCTTCAAATCTATAACTGTTCCCTCATATTTTCTTTTCATCTGTTGAACAAACTCTGCCGGCCCCTCAGCGTTCTTTGCCAACTGTGCTCTAACTCTTGCCAAACTGCTCTCGAATTTTTCTAGATCATTCCCATACTCACATATTTTGTTCCTAAGGCCATTAATGAGTTTTTCATCTGCTCGGCTTCTTTCCGGATTCATCGCAGCTATTTTCATCCTTTGGATCTGGGCCCGGAGGATTTCGTTTTCTTGGGCTAACTTTTTCTTCTCACCCTCATCTGTTGCGGCTTGCACATTACTAGCGAACTTGAGGTCTCTGATCTGTCCTTCTAACTTGCTTATGGTGGCCCGATATTCATTTTCTTTTGCCAACCACTCCCACTGTTCTTGTGATGCTTCGACAAACTCTTGGAGGTGGGGTCTTTTAGCTGGCCTTCTAAACTCAACTTCCTTTTTGTACCAAGCGATGTAACTGGGAGAGACTTCATCTCTGGATATATCACGCACTCAGGTATTTTCTGTTAGATATTGGCATTCACTCCAAATATGGCGAACTACTGTTTCGTGAAACTGCATATCAGAATGGATCTCGACCACATGGAGGCTAAGGTCTTCATCCTTGGGCACTATTTGACATCTCCCTAGCTGTCTCAAAACCCAGTATGGGGCATAAGGTTGGACACTTCTGAGACCCATCAGGAGGAAATCGGAGGCCCGGTAGCGTGGCATGT